ATGATAATTCTTATCTTCTCTTGTCTGCCCAAAACATCATTGATAACATCAGAATTGGAACCACTTGAAAACATGAAAGTTCTAGGAAATTGTCTAAGCCTTTTAAGAAGAAAAATTAAGGTAATTTGGACTTCTAGAACTCTAGATATGGCCAAACACTGAACAGTGTTCAGACTACAAGATAGATTTAGATTTATTTATTATTGCTACAATTTGAACTTGACAATGACCTTTTTAAATTTAGGCTCCCTATGAAAGTCTTAAGCTTATGTCTTACCTTTCCATCCATATAAAGTAGATCTAAATCTGAAATCTACAGCTCTAAATATGACCTAATTACTGATTAGTGTTCCGGTCTGTACCAACATCTCTTTTCTAAGTTTTGCTATCTTTTTGTCCTTTTAATTTCAGTTCTTAAACTAATCAATCAATCCTTTTATTTATGTGATAGACCTATATTTAAAATAAATATTTACCACAAATTAAAAATATCTTATATTATTAGATATGTTATTATAAAATATATTTTAGTTAAGGAGTTATTGATACTTCAAGTGCAAAATGATGATATAAAACTTTGATAAAAATACACTTTTAAATATTAATTAACCAGCTACCACTATTACTTTCTCTTAATTTTTTTCATAAACAATAACATATATGAAAACTATCTTTCTTAACCCATATCAAAAACATAAACTAATAAATAAAGAAAAAAAGGAATCATCATAAATAACAAATTAACATGAAAAAATCTTAAAAAGTAAAAAATAAAAAATAAATAAAAATAGTCTTTAAACAAACATATTTTTTTGGTTTCAGCTAAGTAGGGGTATAGTTTTTTTAATTTTAATTATCCTATTAGCTATTACATTAGAGTTACTATTAAGCCTGGTCTGGTTGGGCTTAGGGTGTCACGAACTATAAGATAAATTGATATTAATTAATTAATTTTTTCCTTATTTTTTACTCTTCTTTTCTCCCTTTCTCTCTCCTATTTTTTTTGTTTGGACTTAATTGAGCCCTATTCATTTTCTCATCCTTCGTATTCCGGCCGGCTACTCATTATTGCCTAACTCAATTCCCAAATTCCAAAATGCTATTCAATGAATCCACACAAAGAAACAAAACAAACCAAAAAAAGAAGAAGAAGAAGTAAAGAACACTTTATACTTATGCGTGGAAACTTGTAGGCAGCAAACAAAACCACATATTCTTCTTTTGAACATATAGCACGAGCCTTAATTTCTGAATCAGAACAATTTCCCTCGAATCCCCAATTCCCCATATGCTTTCTGATCAGCAAACAAATGCTTATCCTCATCACTATTAAGTTTCAAAAGGCAATATTTCTATGAATATGAAATGTATTAAAGACATGAAGCACATGGTGATGGTATGGGACGCCCGTGATGTTCCCCTCCGCCATGCAAGCAAACCATACAAAGACTTCCATTCATGAATAAAACATACATGCATAAAACAAAACATAACAAAACATATCCTTGCAATCCAAATATATCTTAAAAAAAATGCAAAAATAGCACAACCAAATATGATACAATGTAAAGATACTTTTATCTTGTCGGCATCGAGGGAGGGTACCATGAAACCACGACACCGTATTGAGAATTATTACAGAAATACACATATTATCAAGGTGGAAGTCAAGAGCTTCGCCTAGGGTGCTTTCGGCTGTTAAAACATGCACAAGTAAAGGTGGCATGTGATTTTTGCTCTTTGATTTTACCCCACCACGGAAAATCCTTTTGATCTTCTTTTTTTCGCATTATGGAATGAAAACAAAACAAAACAAAGAACGTGGGTCATGGGGTTGGTGTTATCCTTTAATGGCAGGGGCGACAAGACTGGTGACCAATCATGCGATGCAAGAATGCAACTTTTTGTTTTTTAGGGGGTAATTGGGTGTATAACAAGGTTTGTCTTTTAAAGTCTTTATGTTTATAAGAAAAAAAAATATTTTTGTTATTAATGTATCAAGTAATATAAAAATATTAATTTAAAATAAAAATAATTTTTTTTATTTTTTTAAACAATATTTTTAAAACATAAAAATAAATAGATCTTAAATAGATAAATGAATAAATCCTTTTGCACACCTGTATTGTTTTGTTTTTTGTTTATTTTGTTTATTTTTTAAAATTATTTTAATATTCTGATATTAAAAATAAATTTTGAAAAATTAAAAATATTTTAATATATTTTTAAATAAAAATACTTTAAAATATAACTATTATTAAAATCTCACACACTTAAGAACCTTCCTCTGTAAAACCTAACCTTACTAGTTTTTTAAAAAGTAATTATAAATTAAAAGATATTTAATTATTTTTTTAATTAATTTTATAATTTTAATTTACTGATACCAAATATATATATATATATATATATTATTTTAATATATTTTTTTTAAAAAAATATTTTTGACATATTTATATCTACAAAAATTAATTCTACATTAATTCTATGTAAAGTAAGTAGATTGTATATAATTCTGAACACACATTAAATAGACATTGAGACTAAAGGTCATCAGATTGGCTACTTGCTTGTCTTGAAGGGGTAATCCGAACTCGGAACTTCTTGAACCCATAATTATCTGAAAGCTTCTTTTTCCTGAACCAAGTATAATGATATTAACGTGCAAAAAATAAAATAAAAATGTAAGGCCCAAAAAACCAAGAGGGTCAAATACAGCAATTTATATTTAAAGAAAACAATAAAGAGAGAAGGCTTTAGGCCCAAATACAGCTCTGCAGTTTTTCACTTGTTTTGCGGACCAACCCAGAAGCAAATGTACTGCATGATTCTCATGTATATGAATGTCCCCTCTCCCCAGTGTTCAAGGCCTTATTTTTATCCCCATCCTTGAAAGCTATGCTTTTTATTAAATCTTGTTTTATAAAATTATATTTTGATATTACATTAAATAATTTGACTTGTTTTATAAAATTATATTTTGATATTATATTAAATAATTAAAAAAAACTAGAGTTTCATTTAATACTGCTTAAAATAGCTACAATAATTAAAAAAATAGGTTTAATTTATATCCAAAAAAATTATAAATAGGTTAAACTAAAAAAATAAAAAAATATTTTATTTTTAATAAATAAAATAAAATAACACTATATTTTTAAAAAATAACAAGAATCAAACAAAATCATCCTACAAGAAATCTATGCAAAATAAGTTTTTAAATTCAGCGTGGGTGTCTTGCTTTTGAAGCGGCAAGCTTTGTTTTAAGAGCAAAAAAAAAAAAGAGAGAGAGAGAGAGCTAAAGCTCTTCCTTCCAAGGTCAAGCAGATGTGGGATCCCAAGAACAGATAAAGGAGGGTGCAGATCTGAAAACAATTACCTGAAGATCATTCGGAGCAGATCCCGCATCAACTACAGGGCTGAAATTTAAAATAATAGGGAAAGTAAATTATTTAATTTCAAGTTCTTACCACTAAATAATTATTCTTCCAACATTAAAATAAAATGTAGTGGTTGCCTTTAAAAAAAAAAAACAGGTACTTTCTATAGTCCACAGTCCACAACTACTGACATAATTAATCATCAATCATGCCCAAACCCGAGGTTTAGGATGCTCATTGTTGTAACATAGTCCTATTTGATTAGCTTTTGAAACTAGAAGGACCATGTATATAATTATAAATCACACTTGAGTATATATTTGATGTTGCGGTGAAATATTTTTTTATTTAAAATATATTAAAATAATTTTTTTAGATATTTTTAAATGGATTATTTTTTTATATTTGACACTATTATAAAAAGTAGATTAGAAAATATTTTTTAATATTGGATATATATACCTTGAAAGATAAGTTGAAAATTAACTTTAATGTTTTAATTTTTTTAAATTTATTAAAAAAATAAAATAAAATTAGATAGATGAAACAATTAAAAGATAATAAAATTAAAAAAAATTAATCTCATAAATTATTTCAAATAACATGAATAACAATAAAAAGAATGGAAACCAAATCTAATAAATAAAAAATTTACTTAAAAAAATAATAAAAAAATAATGATCAAAGTTGATATAAAAATCACATTAAATTCTAAAAGATAAAACTCAAAAATAAATGCAAATAAATATAAAAATAAAAAAAATAAGAATCAAATTTAATATAATCAATAAATAATAAGATATTTTTAAGCTTTTTATAACTTTTAATTAGTATATTTCTCTAGGCTAAAAAAATATTTTCTAGAAATTAATCTAAATTTTTCTTTGAAATTATTTTTTTATTAAGTAGTTTTTTAATAATAAAAAATTATGAAAAAGTTTTAAAATAATTATTTTTAAAAAATCTATTTTTTATGAAACATACCAGCCTTAAAAGAAAAACCTTTTTGCCTTTATTCCATGTATATTTCTCCGACCTTTAAAACAAAGAAAAACAATTATTTTTTTTATAAATAATTTTCTCTCTTGGACAAATTGTAAGATTATAAACCTAATAGAATGGGTATATAAATATATTTGAGGAGAAATAAAAATCCATTATTTTTTTCTTTAATAAATTATTTTTTATTAAAAAATCATAACTTTTCAATACAAGGAATTGATTTTGTAATGTTTCTTTCCCTAAACAATGAATGTTTTCAAAGCACGGTTTTTTGTTTTTCAAATATATGGGCATATATTGTAAACCATAATTTTATGAAATTTTATTGTTCATGAATTTTTGAAAATATTAATTATATAATTAATATTAAATTTTTGTAATTAAAAAGATTTCAAACCTATGAAATATAAAACAAAAGCCTCTTATTTTCGATTAAAAAGATATAAAGAGGAGGAGATTGGCCTAAACCCGTCCCTAACCCCTAAAAGCCACCAAAAAGTAGGCTTTGTTTGTACATGTTTTTAGTATAGGGAGTAATCTAACTAACCACTTAAACTTGGAGGACTTCACGCATCCTCAGCGCTACAGAGTATACCTTGTTGCGGTAACACTGTAACAGTAACCCCTCTCAAAAAAAAACGAAAAGCACACCTAAACCAATTTTTTTTTTCTTAAAAAAAAAAAAACAGATCTTAGCGCTCATTTCTTGTGATTTGAGTGCTTATATTATATTTTCCCTGATCTTCTGGATTTGTCTGCGAGTGATTGAAATCAGCGGCCATGGTTTCAACGAACAAGCTCAAATCCGTCGATTTTTACAGGTCCGATCGATCTCCATTTCTTCAAAGATTTCGCTTTATATTATGAATCTGGAAGTGTTAAATATCTATATCTATATTTTATTTAGCTCAAGAATGAAGTTTGTTAATGTAGTAAATCAAGTATGTGTATGTGTTGATTTTTCAGGAAAATTCCTAGAGATTTGACGGAGGCATCGTTATCAGGTGCAGGATTATCGATAGTAGCTGCCCTAGCTATGGTGTTTTTGTTTGGAATGGTATGTAGCTTCTTCTCTACCGCTTTTTCAGTACTAAATACGCAGATTACTGCTGCGTTTTAATGATTATTTTGATGTGCAGGAACTTAATAATTATTTAACGGTCAACACCTCTACATCTGTGATTGTTGACAATAGTTCTGATGGAGAGTTCTTACGTATTGATTTCAATCTTAGGTAATTTTATGCCTTTTATTTTTCATTATTTAAATCTTGCCTATGCCATGTTTCACTCTCTGCATAGGAATTCTTTCCATTGAATTAAGGTTGTTTGGATTGAGCATATGATTGTTTCATTTTAAGCTGAGGTCTAGAAGAGTATTATTATTTTGGGATTTATCCCTCGTACAAATGCATAGCAGGAGTTGCCTCGCTGCATTTGGCGCACAGTAGATAAGCAGGATGAGTATCAGTTCCTCGACCTATGGTGAAGATGTTTTTTGTTTTTCAATAAGTAGAGGGGAGTTGGTATTATGTGCATAGCTGATTACAGTGTCCGGACATGGTGATACCCAGGCCTTGGTATCTTGTTAATGTAGTGTTTAGCTTTTAGGATTTTGTCAGGATTTGTGATGTTAGGCTGCAGTTGTTGTCCAAGTGGCAATTTTTTTTTCCAACTTCTTTTGTTTCAGTTTCATCAAAGAGGTCTGGTTTTATATTGCCCCTCATATGCTTAACTTTGAACTTGACCTATCGGTGTGAACCTAGTTTCGATTGTCAATCTGTTTTTGTTTCCTCTTCAAAGCTTTTAGGTTTGTGGCTGATTTTTTTCGCTGTAATGCTTTTGTTTCCTCTTCAAAGCTTCAAACCTCTAATGATGCTGTAATGCTTTTCCTGTGTAAATTTCTTGGCTTTACATAACTGTTAATCTTGTGTTAAACTAGCTGACAGATAAATTTTCTTTTTAATTGTAGCTTTCCTTCACTCTCATGTGAATTTGCATCGGTTGACGTGAGTGATGTGTTAGGAACTGTAAGTTTTTTCTATCTACTGTTGTGTTTCTTCAATTTAGTTTTATGAAAATGATTATTTATTTTTTTTAAAAAGGCTTTTTTATAAATTATTGTTCATTTTGTGTAAGTGACTTGGTTGTTGACAGGTGATAGCTGCCCAAGACTTGAGAAATTATGGTTCTCAGTTTTTAGATGGGTGATAAGCTGGAAATATATAAAAAAAAAGAAAGAAAAAAGAACAGAAGTAGGTGCCTTTGGTTTAGTAGGATTTCATTGAAAAGTAAAATAAATTGACCAAGATGTCCAGAAAGCTATCCTCACATGTGAGTGGAATAATGGAAATTTCTAGAGATAATAATTATTATTCCTCTCGTACTCCAAGATAAATTAGAATGCCATTTTTGCTTTGCCTCTTCTTTTTTTCCTTCTATTTAGGGTTCAGGTGCAATTTTCTTCTCGACAATTTTCCCCTATTTTTTTAAGTTTGATGTTCACTGCATGCTTGCATTGTACAATATGGTGAAATATCCTTGAAATTATTGAGCTTGGTGTGCGCCTTTGTGGTTTATGATCTCTACTGACAATTTATTTTCTGAACGCATTATTCTGGACTGGCCTGAAAGTTTACATTCTTTTTTCCAGAACAGGTTGAATATAACAAAAACAATCCACAAATTCTCAATTGATCATGATTTGAAGCCCACTGGATCTGAGTTTCACTCTGGACCAGTTTTGCATCACATCAATCACGGAGATGAAGTTCATGAAGAAGGCAGTGAAGGTTCTGTATCACTCAAAGCTCATAATTTTGATCAATACTCGCATCAGTAAGTTGCCAAATTTCTATTTTCAGATATTTGTTAGGTTTTGAATTTGGAAGATTTTCTTGTGGTGATTTTAGCGATACCTTTGATTGACTTATATGGTGTACTTTCTTCTCAGGTATCCAATTTTAGTTGTCAATTTTTATGCTCCTTGGTGCTACTGGAGTAATCGCCTGGTAATTTTACAATGTCTATTTATTGCTTAAAGTTTAGTTTGAATATTGGGATAGAAGACCATTTGGGCTATCAGATTAATAGATTGCACATTGTTTATGATTTTTGCAATGATACAGCTTCTGAACTTAATTTTTACAAGCAATACTCTGCATATTTAGGTCTAGGTGTATTTGAAATTGTCCAATGAGCAATGTCATGTGATCTTAGTGTCAGGAGACTGCTCTTTGATGTTACTGAGAGATAGGAACTTATAGATTCATGATAATAAGCTCATACTCTAGGCATTTTGTGACTTTGAATGTCTTGATAAAATCATCTAAGGGTTTCGAATTTTTTGTCTTATTGTTTGTTGTTGAATAACTACTCAGTTATACCTGGCAAAATCAAATTGAACCCATCCTGCATAAACACAATGATGACTGGTGGACTCAGTGTTTTGCTTTCTTCTTTGCTGACTTTTTTCTCTTGTTTCAGAAACCTTCATGGGAAAAGGCAGCTAAAATAATAAGAGAAAGGTGTTTTTCTTTCCTACTTTTACATTTTCTTTTCTCCCTGAAAATATAGACAGAGCCTTCATTTGAAGTAAATTGTTCCTTGATTCGGCATTATGCTATTTAACTCCCACAATGTACATACATTTTATCAGGTATGATCCGGAAATAGATGGGCGGATTCTGTTGGCTAAGGTTGACTGCACTGAAGAAGGTGATCTATGTAGGAGGTATTTTCTAGATCAATGTTTCCTGACTTGTAATTTGATTTCCTTTGGTGAGACAAAGTGGTAATGGGTTTAGCATTTGGGGATAGCATTTCTATTCTGATAATGTAGCTAATAGATTTTGAAATTCATGATGCACTTCTAGTTTAGTGTGTATGAAAAACGCTGCATTGCTGTAATGTGTTGAAAGATTTCTTCCAACTCAATATTAATTACTGTCTGTTTAGCTTCACTGTAGTTCATGGGTTTGCTTCTGCTTTCTCTTTTACCCTTGTTGTAGGGTATAGTTTCCTAAGTTGATTTTTTCTTAATGTAAGTATTTTTCCATGAATTTTCAGGAATCACATACAAGGGTATCCATCAATTCGTATTTTCCGTAAAGGAAGTGATCTTCGGTAATATATTTTCATCTATACTCTTTGTATGCTGTTGATGATTATCTTTCACTCATGTTGGATGTTTTCTTGGTGCATTTTTATTTTTAAGGCAATTGGAATGCATATTTGCTCTTTAAATTTACCATTTGAGGTAAATCTATTTTTGTAAACTTCCGTATTCTCTTCTGTTTAGTTAGGAGACTTTCTTTCTTTCTTTCTTTTTTGTAAGGAAAATTGGATTTGAAATGCGGAAATAGGGGCTGGCTTCTATATGGACATGAGTATATGCAAGAAACTAAACAAACTAAAATCATTAAAATTGACAAAACCCTGGAAAGAAATATGAATAAAAAATCAAAAGGTGCACACGACAAGAAATGATGATGACCTATCTCTTTAGCAAGCACATAGATATCTTGAGATTTTGAGATGCTTTGATACAGTCTTAGATATGAGATTGACTTGTAATCATTTGAAGATTGTCTCTAATTTGTTTGGTCTTCCTTGGTTTTGAAAAGTGAATGTGAGGTGGAAATAATTAGGTAGACTAAGACTCGAAGTGGTGTGTCTTGCATTCAAATTAACTTTTTTTGTTTTGTTGGGTACAACATCTGTACATGTCAATTTAATTATCTACTATCCTTGACTTAGTTTTTGATGCCCTGTTTTGAAGTCTTCCCTCAATTTCATATACTTGGTGACCAACACCAATTCCTTCTCAAAATTTAACCTTCTTTAAATCAGTCAAGTTCAAATTTCCTAATCAAGTTCTGCTACGTCCAAAATGCAACACTATAAAGATTGTCATATATAATAATCTAAGAAACGAAATATCAGAACAAAAATGGAGGGTGGAAGGAATATATTCCTTTTTGTAGTTTCAGGTCCCCCCAACATTCTCAATCTTCGCAGCATTTTTTAACACCTAAGAAAAGGCTTCTTACAGCAATAGATGTCAACTTCTGCTTTGATTTATTGCTGAATACAACATTATTGTGTCCTATCCTTTTCCTTTCTTTAATATCTGGCTTTGTATTACTGCTTTGTTGGCCAACTTTGGTATCGGGCATTTTCAACTGTCACAGGGATGACCATGGACACCATGACCATGAATCTTATTATGGAGATCGAGATACAGACAGCCTGGTTAAGGTATGAACACTTCTCTTTTTCCTATTTTAACGTGCAAACTTGGGTTGTTCATGATAATTGATGCAAACCTGGCATACTTTCTATTATCCCTTGCAGACAATGGAAGGTTTGGTTGCACCTATTGCAATGGAATCTCAAAGGCATGCTTTGGAGCATAAAACTGAAAATGCAACAGAGCATGTTAAAAGACCAGCTCCTTCAGCCGGAGGATGTAGAATTGAAGGATATGTGCGTGTAAAGAAGGTAAACCTCCCATTCTGTGTGGAAATCAATGGGATAGACCCTATGGTTGCTTGTAGATATGCTGCATTTTAGTTGATGATGTACATGATCAAAATTAGTAAACAAAATAACAGATCAATAGTCATTCAGCCATCCTCAGATTCTCACAATATTGTGGTCATTTTGTCGGTCTCGAAATGGATCCTAAAGGAAATATTCGGCATTACTTTTGATAAGTTCTTGGGTTTTAAAGTTGAGCTGTAATGTGCTCTGCAGGTTCCAGGCAACCTCGTGATCTCAGCTCGCTCAGGAGCCCATTCGTTTGATTCTGCGCAAATGAACTTGTCACATGTCATATCCCATTTCTCGTTTGGTATGAAGGTTTTGCCCAGGGTAATGAGTGACGTGAAGCGTTTGATACCTCACATTGGTCGAAGTCATGACAAGTTGAATGGCCGATCATTTATTAATCATCGTGATGTAGGGGCTAATGTCACTGTAAGTTGTCTCTTGCAAGTGGTCCTCTAGGTTCATTATTTTATTTGTTTCTGTAATGCTTACTGCATGCTTGGCCATAACCACTCAGCATTTCAATGTGCTGTAGTTTGACATCTCAACTGCACTAACAACATTTACATGCATGGGGACAGGATGGGCATAGAATGTAGATTCCTAATTTTTCTTCATATGAATGCATGAATGTGCATGAATATACCATGGACCCACAATATGAAATTATTCATTTAGGATTTCTTCTTGGACCACAACCATTTTAAATGTAAAAATGGTGAAGAGAATGCAGGTCCTAAGCAGGAGTTTTGTCAGTGTGAGCCAGTGATGGTTGATGGATTAAACGTGCTTGTTCTTTGTCATGTTAATCATGGTTGTTGCTATCAGTATATGTTTAAAATAGGACATTGATTGTTCATGTTTGAGATAAATTCATTGTTGTGCCTGATCATAAAATCTCGAACCGCCGTGTCCTGTAGGCTGATGAATGGATATATAATACTAGACAATGAGATAACCTTGCAATTTAAGGATATCTTAACATTCAATTTCTATAACATGGCAATTGCAGATAGAGCAGCCGTGTCCTGTAGGCTGATGAATGGATATATAATACTAGACAATGAGATAACCTTGCAATTTAAGGATATCTTAACATTCAATTTCTATAACATGGCAATTGCAGATAGAGCATTATCTCCAAGTTGTTAAAACTGAGGTGGTTACAAGAAGATATTCAGCTGAGCACAAATTAATAGAGGAGTACGAATATACAGCTCATAGCAGTTTGGCACAAACTGTCTACATGCCAACTGCAAAATTCCATTTTGAGCTCTCTCCCATGCAGGTTCAGTCATAAATTAAAAAAATTGATTCTTCGTTCTCTTTTATTATTATTGGACTGGAAGATTATTCTGTGTTTTCTCTGCTTTTGATCTCCCATTTGTTTCTGACACTATTTTTTGTTGTACTTCTGATATCAGGTTTTGATCACTGAAAATCCCAAGTCTTTTTCGCATTTTATCACCAACGTCTGTGCCATAATTGGAGGTGTCTTCACGGTTCGTATTTAAATTTGTGTTTCTTTAGTCTTTTATCTCCAGCCACAAGCAGATGCAGTTTCTGATAGTTTTTCTCTGTGTTTCAGGTGGCTGGTATATTGGATTCAATTTTGCACAACACATTTAGAATGATGAAAAAAGTAGAACTCGGCAAAAATTTTTGATAGGAAGATGAAATTTGATGTATAAACTCTGTTCTGATACTCCTTATTTAGCAAGGATTTGATTAGAACAATTACGGTATTTACCTGGTTTTGAATTGTTATAAGCTATTCTAATTGCTAATACAAGAAATTTTTCATCGCTCTCTGCAACTCCAACCTAGGCTGTTTGACTGCTTGTTCTTTCGTTTTCTTCTTCTTCTTCTAGTTGAGGAATGGATGCCCCTTGAAACAAGAGTCTGTTTCAATTGCATGTGTCCATGATCAAGCACAATGGATATTGGCCCTGCAGCCCTCCCCCTCTTTCCTCACCACCTCGCCGAAAATGGGAATCATGTGGCTTTTACAAGAGTCTGTTTCAATTGCATGTGTTCATTCATTTGTTTTCCAGTGCGGGAACTGGGATATTGCTATTGCTCCAGGCTGGAAGTGCTCTATTTACCACTGGTATGTGATGGGAGAGCAGAACAAAATTTTCCAAATTTCTGGCATCCACACCGTGAAGATTTTATTTATTGCGTTCTATACAATAATGTTACATGAAATAATCCCCCCCCCCCCCCCCCTCTTCCCCCCCCGCCTCGTCGAAAATTTGAAGTCGCTGAGCTCAAGGCAAGAAAATCATAGAGAAGGCCAGGGGGATAAAAAGGGAAAAAAAATGGAACAGGGTCAAAAAAAGAAAAAGAAAAAAGAGGACATCCAATACTTGTTCTGAGCTCAAGGCAAGAAAATCATAGAGAAAGCCACGGGGGTAAAAAGGAAAAAAAATGGAACAGGGTCAAAAAAAAAAGGAAGGAAATCCTATACTTGTCCGGATAATTTTCCTCCTAAAACCATAAGATTAGAGATGAAGCAAAGAATGCTCCCATGGAACCAAAGAAACTCACGAACAATGAAGAAGCTGAGTTTGGTGGCACACCAGCGGGAGCTGGAGTTGGGTTTATGTTGTCTATTCCTGCGGGAGCGGGAGGAGTCTCAACGGTGCTAGGTGTAGGAGCTGGGACCATGTCAGAGTAACCCAGAGATGGAGAAGGAGCTGCGGTGGTTTGGTTTGTGTTAGCAGAATGATTGCTTGATCTGTCTGCTAAAACGACCACCGCCAACTTCTCATCCTTGAGACAGTTATCTTTGTTTCCACTGATGAAGTAGTGAGGTCCGGAATGGTTGAATGTGAAGACAGTCTTAGGGTCTTTGAATGCTGCAATGGGATTCTTTGTGGTGCAATTTTTATAGTCCCCCTCGCTTACTTGAAGCACCGAGTCTTGGCTAGGATCATAAGCAAACACTGCAACAACCGAGAAGAAACAACTTCAGTTATCGTTAGGAATATGTTGACAAAATACTAAGATTTTGTACATGTTCTGTCGGAAGATGAAATCTTGGGACAAAAGGTCAACTTACAGAGGGAGTCTCCGATCTGAAATCGGGTATGTTCAGCCCAATCGTTGTAGTAGCTCTTCGAACTGGAACTGGTATTATCGGGCACGGTCCAACCTTTCGAACCTCCCCCGACTGGATATTGAAATGCATTGTTCTTCTGTATCAAGAGCAAGAAACACAAGAGCCCCAAAACATGAAAGACTTTGTTTTGGTAACTGATGCTGGCCATTGAAAAACAATAAATGAGATGTAGAGCAAGTGAAGTGTTGTCTTTCACCCAAAATCTAAAATCTCAGTCCTAGATGAAGTTGAGCTGTGACAAGGATGGTGTTATGTTCGGGGTTTTTGTAGGCCAAGTTGCATGAACTTTACAAGCTGTGGCAGAGAAGCTTTTTTCTACTTTTTCATATTCTCATTTCTTGGGATTTCTTTGATGCCAGTGCAAAGGATATATTTCACTCTTCTAAGCAGTGTTTAGCATAATACTTTACTTTGACTGTTATCAAGAATATTCATGACTTCTGCATTGGGTAAAGCTAATGACATCTAATACACTATTAACATGTCTGTTACCACTATAAGATATAATACATCTATGAGCTCATCTTGAACCATTAACTTCCTTGATTAAACAACTCTGATATGCTAGTTTCTTTTCTTCTTCTCAGGCACAGAAGAGCTCTGGATGGCTTAAATTTCGCTTGGAGATATCAAGTTCTCTCTGTTTATGTTTCAGAAATGGAATATCATACAGGTTGCATTTGAGCTGAGTTAGAAGTTTCTACTTAATGTGATGCAGTTGTTTGCCAATTTTTTCTTTCGAATATTAACATGATAGATAATGTTAATAACTAGTGTCTTTTTCAAATGATAGATAAAACTCCTGATGAATTTAAACATGTATGCTTTCACATTTTTATCAGGATCGATTACAACAAAAAGGGAGCCATTAATGGTTCTGGTTGACAATTTTGAGGTATGAACTTTTCTCTGGTCAAATGCTGGGGTTTTGCAGTGTCCATTTAGGTGACTAGAATATGACTGGTTTTACTTGAATAATAAAGATTATTTTAAATTTTTTTTTTATTAATGTTTATATAAATGAAATTAGATATAGGTCTAGCGGTCTTCATGACACAAATAAAAAACCTAAAAAATCATAATATTATTTTTTTGTGTTTGCAAGACTTACTGATATTTTTTTTCCATCTTACTTGCTCTTTTTGTAACTCTTATCTTTAGAGAAGGATCTTATTAGATCATAAAAGATATTCTTATATCGAGAAAATATAATTAATGACAGTTTTACACACTCCTCAAGTAGTAATAGTTTGTTTTTGTTCATTATATCTTCAATTTTTGCAACGGCCAATAAGCTGAGGTGCCATTACTGAAACAAAGATCTTCCTCTTTGGCACCTCCAGCATGAGGAAACAAGCTCAAAACAGAAGAACATGATTTTAAAAGAGCACTTCATCATTTTCGAATCATGCTTGATCTTCTGGCCTTGTACAGAGCTCTTCAAGGCAAAAAAATTAGTATAAAAGGGATCGAGCTAGCTTGTTAATGTAGTAGCCAAATAGGACATGCAAAAATAGTCCACGGGAAGTAGCAAACGGGAAGATTTGGTTAGAAGCAATGAAGAAACTTGTGCACACAGTAATTATAATAAGAATGACAGAAATTTACAGAAATCGATGTTGGTGGGATAGTGCCAAGCTAGAGGTAATTTCCATGAAGTTTCTTGGTATTTTCTTGATTGTAAACAAGTACGTTATGGGGGGTTTATTATTAAGACAAAATGGGTGCGTTGATAGGCCGATTACACATCTATAAGAGAAAAACTATGTTAGCGCTATGCAGTGGTTTAGATTAATTTTTTCTTAATATAAAAAAATAAAAAGGCGTCATTGATGTTAGCGCTATGCAGTGGTTTAGATTAATTTTATCTTAATATAAAAAAATAAAAAGGCGTTATTGATGTTATTTTTTTTGCAGTAAAAACATGAATTCATATTAGACACTATATTCTTTAGATATTAACTTAGAGATATATTAAATGATATATTTTAAAAAATAATATTAAAATGATAATATATTATATATTATATATATTCAAGTTAATCTTAACTTATAACCTATAAAATTTTTGGTATATATCATAACATTATGATAATCCAATAAAAAATAAATTAAATAAATAATAAAATATAATTCTCAATAAATTTATTGTCAAATAAAAATTACAAATTAAAAAAAAATATCAAGAAGAATGACTTGGAATATTCCGGATCAAAATTTAGAAGATTTTCATGAATAATACTAACTAAATGTAAATATACAAGATTTTTTTCTAAATCAACCCCATGTATTTAGATTTAACTTGTAATATGCTCATGTTACCCTACAAGTTAGCTAATAATATTTTAAATGGTATAATCTAAATAATTGAATTATGCATGTTTGAAGTGGTGGCATTATCATCTGAGATAATTTGAGCGCTAATATTTATATAAAACATCAGGTAAAAGTTATAGGAGCTATTATGCACGCTTCGAAAGTGTCAATTTACATATTTAAAGACACATAAGAAGATAATTGTTTTTATCTACAAAGAAAAGAATTGGAAGTGTTCTTCATTCTTTTACTAGATCCCTATTATACTATACCTTTTAAAAGGTACGAGAAAAATACTATACAAGTATTGTAAGCATAAATTTATTATACTTTTGATTATATTATAAATATAGAGTGTTTGTATTGTAGTTGACACTATAGCGCTCTAAGAGCGTTGTCTTTTTTATTTTTTAGTTAAAAAATATTATTGGGTATGACTCTATATCTAGACTCAAGAAAAAAATACTATGCATATACTTTATATATAGAGTGTTTGTATTATGGACCACACTGTAGATATATAGTACTGTTTGCATTATGGAAAACATTGGAGTATCAAGGGGCATTGTCTTTGTTGTTTTTTAGTTAAAAAGTGTTGTTAAGTCTAACTTGACCATCACCTAATGCTACTGGGTCTGAATCCGCAATCAAACCCATGAATATTAGGTCTAGTTGGGCAGCCCTACCCAAGGATATTGGATGTGGCTCTATAACCATACCTAAGTTTTCTTCCATAAGCTATTGAATCTAGCTTGGTAACCGAATTCAATGCTATTGCATTCTGCTAGGTTATTGGATCCAACTTTTCTTCTAAAAGCTGCTCAGTCTGGCTGGACAGTTAGATCTAACACTATTAGGTCTTGCTAGAAAGTCAAATCCAAAACTATTGAGCAGATCTATAACATCCAAAACATCAACCAACAACAACCAAAACAAATCCATAACAACTCACTCAACAAACCAATCAAAACCATTTTAAACAATAACCAAAACATCCAAGTTATTGACAATCCACTAAAAACAACTCTCTAACAACAACTTTTAACACCTTTAATATCTATAATAATAGACCTATCCCAACCAGAAACCACCCTCCAACAACAACTTTTAACGCTCTTGATATCCATAATAATAGACCTATCCCAACCTATAACCACTATCGATAATATTCTTAGATTATCTTTGTTTTAATATTTAAAAAGCATTTTCAAAATTTTTAATTTTTTTAAATTAATATTTTTTAATGATTTTAGATATGTGCTAATATCAAAAATATTTTTTTAAATATTACTTTAATATATTTTCAAGAAAAAAAATATTTTTAAAAGCAACCACTATCATAATCTCAAACATTACTACTTTTTATTTTTATTTTTCTTACAAGATAGCCTTTGTAACATATAAAATTAATAAAAATATATTTTGTAAACCAACTCACATTTGCATCTGTGGGGGCATATAAAGGATGTGTTGTTTGGGAGTGTGGTGGCGGTTGTTTTTCAAAATATTTTTTACTTTGAAATGCATCAAAATAATATTTTTTTTATTTTAAAAAAATTATTTTTGATATCAACATGTCAAAATGATCTAAAAATACCAAATTATTTTAATTTAAAGCAAAAAAAAAATTGAATTTTTTTCAAAAATATTATTAAAACATAAAAACAAACAGCCCGAAATACACTCAAATTTTAAAGCTTCAACACCCCATTTGCACCTTAAACCCCAAATTCTGCAACTTAAAATACCTAAAAATAACATTATGGTCAAGTGGTGGCAAAGCCTGAGAATGACAATCCAATCCCCCTAGTAACTTTGGGTCCTGCTACCAAGCCTAACTTAATAACATGAGTTCGGTTACTCAGTCAAACCCAACAGCTTTTGAAATAAAACTTGGGTTCAACTGTCTAAAGGATCTAATTGCGCTAGGTCTGACTGCCCAGTCAGACCCAACAGTTTTTGAGAAAACTTAGGTTTGGCGTTGCCGCCACACCAAAGACAGTTAAAATATTATCTATGCTCTTTATATTATTTTTACATTTAATAAAAAAATATTATTGACCTGTTACAAAGCGTAGGTCAATATGCTAGTTAAATGAAAAAAAATAGAAGTTTTTTTTTCCCTTCAAGTATCTATAGAACTACCTTCATAAAGAGTTCAAGACATACATAATTATCTTAACACTATCACACCAAGTTTGCACTTTTAAGTACTAATCAATCATCTTAACACTATCACACCAAGTTCAAAATAAAACAACTATAATATCAAATAAGACATCACTAGTAAGTTGATGCATGCGATTTCTTAGAAAAAAAATTAGTTAATTTTGTAATTTTTTATTATGATGTTTTTATTTTTTTTTAAATATTTGAATAGAATTTGTTTTCTAGTTATCTTTATTATTTAGTATTATTAGGGTTTTCTGAGTTTTTTAGAGAAATAAAATTAATTATTTTTAGAGTCTTCTTGTATTTATAGTATTTTTAATCTTTAATATTTTAGCTTATAATGAACTCTTTATCATTTGCTCTTATCTATATCAAAAATCATTATATATATATATATATATATATATATTTCTTTTAGATCACTTATGTGAATCTAGACCAACTAATTAATTTCTTATTTCTACTACAGATATTCATGAATTCTCTATCATTTCAATGAGTGTAGAGTTGTTAGATGAGATCAGAGCTCTATTCGCCATTTAAAATGAACAATAATGCAACTACAAGATAAACCATCAAAATTAAATACAAAGAAAATATCAATTATCATTAATCATGATTCGGCAACCAAACAAGTATTACTATTAAAATAAAATAAAAAAACATTGAAAGATAGTGAGAATTGTTTTATCATAAATCAAATAACAATTAAATACTTTATTCTTTGAGGGCGGTTTTCTTGAATCAAATATTTGGAGTTTTAAACAAAGAAGTTAAGAATTGGAACACAAAACTAGGATGAATAAATACTTTATTATCAATGACTTTGGCTTTAAATAGTTATTCAAGACATAATCTTAACATAAACAAAAAAGTAGCATTTTAGCATATATAAATCTAAGGAGATAATAGAAATATTGAATAAATCAAATACAAGTAGATATCTTATAGACTAGGACTTTCCCTGCAAATCAACATTATTCTAATAGACTCTAACAGAAGATATGCAATGAAGTATTTTGCAAGTAAACTCCTTCATTCCCTCCATTAAACTAAATGCTATGAAGCAATTAGTTTATATCGTAGTAAAAATTTCACATACTCCCAGTAGTTTTCGAAGCTTTTGAAAAACTTCAAGCTTCTGAAAAACTTCAAGCTTTAATGGTTTGGTCATTATATCTGCAATTTGATCTTGGCTCCCTGACACGACTGAAAGATTGATGTCTTCTCCCAAGTGCAGGAGTGTCGAAGTAATAAATAACCCGGCAAGACCGGGGTCGAACCACAAGGAGGTTA